CACTGGTTTTTCTTTCCCTCCAGTGTTCCCCTATGCCTGGGTTCTTATTTTAATCATGTTTCTGGGATTTTGGTACCTCAGGATCTGGCAAGATAGATGTTTAGGGGGATCCTGCATATTGGCTGGCCCTTTGAGGGGCTGTCTCCCAACCGCAGGACTGTACATATGCAAAAAATCCAGCTCCCTTATTGCGATTACCCTGTGTTTCCCCCTCCCAGCACCGAGTCCTTCTCTGCCCCTAGAGGGCTTTGATCCATGCTCTCTGGGCTAGGTGTGTTTACCCTTTGATCAGGTTCACCTTTTCCCAGCAGCTTTCCCGCAGCTGCTTTCTGTTTCTCACCAGCCTGGGGAAGGACACCCACTTCTCTGTCAGTTGGGCCATTTGCATTCTCACAAACGACCATCTGGCAATTTCCTGGTCTCAACTCCTCTGCTGTCACAGGCGTTGGAGCTGCATCTTGATGTAAAGAGACACAGTTACTTTCCAAACACTTATCAGAAATAGCATCCTGAAAAACTGGTACCCGGATTGGGGTACCCTCCGTCACCCCTTTCTCTGTCCCTGAGAAGTCAGCTGTGTGACTGTTCCCCTCTGGAAAGTCAGTTACGCAGTTCCTTCTCAAAACCTGGGTCACAGACTGATCAGATGCTAACTCACCCATTCAGTCATGAGCATCCTCTCTCAGGTGACCAATGAGGAGACATTCCTGTACTCCCACTGTTCCTTCCCCAGTTTCCTCCTCTAGATTCCCCTCCAAGACACATTTCTCTGTGCTCCCCAAGAAGGAATCCATCCCTTGTTCATCTGCAAAGCCCTGCCAGCTAACAACTGGGGTAGTTTCCTTAATCACTGGCAACACTTCTCCTGCCCCTGCTCCTGAGGGCATGTTGCCTTCTGCCGAAAAGGAGCTAGTCTCAGCCCACACCATACCTGGAAGCACCCTGCTTCCCTGTGTTACGGAGTCACAGGAATCCTCACCCACCTCAGTGGTTTCTGAGATTACCTCCCCCTTCTCTGGGCTCTCCTCCGGGACATATTTCTCTATGCTCCCTAGAATGGGGTTTGTCTCTAGTTCAGCTGCAACTTGCTGGACAATTCACTCCGTGGCAGGCATTACATCACCATCTCTTCCTGGTGTGGTGTTGCCTCGAGCTGCAATGCAGGAGCTGGTCTTGTTGTATGCAGGCCATAGATGGTCCCAACTGTGAATTTTTGGAGTGACAGGAATGGTTGGGGTCAGTGGTTTCTGGTTCTCCTTCTCTAGCAGGTCCAGTTCATGTTTTCTCTCTCTCTTTCTTCTCATTCTCTTTCCTTCTCCTCCGTGGCCAGTTTCTTTAGTGCTGAGACTGAGTCTCTGGTGTTCTCTCTCTTTTTCTGCAACCTGCAGTCTAAAAAACTCCAACTTTGCAAAGATTTCACTTCTTTCAGTCATTTTCCGCTTTTCTGTCCCTACTTCCCTTTCCCAAAATAACAAACTGGTAGCCTCCTCCTGACTCTCCTTAGCCACCACACTTAAAATCTTTACACCAGTGTATGAAGTGCAAATCTTGCTCAGTACAACAAGCTGTGTATTTCATCCTGCTCACAGTGCCACGGTAACGGGATCCCCGGGGTGCAGCCTGGGACCATGGGAGCACTGTGCCCCCTGAACTCTCCCCCCCTGGGCTGTCTCTCACAATGCTTTGCTACTGACAAGCAGCAAGCCCCTCCAGGCACTGTTATATGATTGTAGCTCATTGGGGCAGGGACGGTCTCTGTCTTCTGGGTTTGTACGGTGTCCAGCACAATGTGGTCTGGCCAGAGCGGGGGCTTTGGGCACGACCACATGTCAGATAATAAATAACTAAATCCCCCGGGGTGGGAGTTTGGTCAGTGCTCAGTGCTGCCCTTTCTCAGTGCTGCCCTTTCTCGGTGAAGTCAGTGGGAAAACTCCTCCCGACGTCAGTGGGAGCAGAGCCAGGCCAGCGCTGAATGCATCTGAAGATTCACCCCAAGGGGGCCACGATCTGTGACCAGTCAGAGCAACACTCCACCAAAGGATGGACGTGAACCAGCAGCAGGGTTCTCCCACTGGGGAGAGTCCAGTGCTCCATAGAGCCACAGCCTCTCCCCTTCTGCTGGCATCCCTGGGAGACAAGCCTGCCAGGTGCCAGTCGATGCCGAGCACTCCACAGGCTCAGTCCATAGAGCACAGTGTCTCTCCTCGTTCTCCAGGGGGAAGTGGAAAACACCGCGCATGAAGAGACGTGCTTTGATTCATCCCCCAGAATGAGTTGCTCCAGCTGCCAGTTTAGTCTCTTACCTGGGGTGACCCCCCCCTTCCCCCAGCGCTCTCCTGCTCCTCTGCAAACATGCTGCCTTTTTGTCTGCAGTTTGCTGTCTGTTGGGTAGCATTCGCTGCTGGGCAGAGGGCAAGCCCAGGGCATGGGCAGTGCTGAAGTGGCATGAGTTTAGATGGGAGGGAAGCAGTGCACAGGCCGTGTGCTGACCCTCTGCACAGGGGTGACTCTCACTCCTCCCTGAGCTCAGCCAGAGCAGTTTTTCCCTTGGAGCTGTGCCTCATGTAACAAGAGCATCACCATTGTTCTGTTCCAGACTCTTCTCCCACCGAGGAATCTCACTTTCTGTGAAATGGCCCCTTGCCCATGGGAAGCGCGGGACCATCCCAATCTGGCTGGGTTTATACAAATTGAGTTTCCTCCTAAAGAAATATATTTTGAAGTTTTGCACCCGAGTTCGGAATCCAGCAGATCCTGGAGCAAGCGCTTGCTAGGCAAGCACTGCCTGTTGTACAGTGAGTTTGCTGCTATATTGGTGAGCCACACAAGTGGCAAGGGGGGCTCTAGTCCTAGCACTTGCCCCCGCACTGGTCTTGGATTCTACTTGTCTTGGGCCCTCCCCGTTAACCTGGGCTTCTTTCAACAGCAGTTCTTATATGTCTACAAACTGATCATTTGATGGCAAGTATCACAGTCCCCAAGCTGTGTGACAGTGTCTGGCTGATGGGTCTGGATGTCAGCCAGTGGCTGAGAGAGGACACTGACCACTGATGGAGGGGAAGGGCCTTGCTAGGGTACCTGACCCACCAAAAGCACCGCAGATGCCTGTACAGGAAAAAGGAGTCCTGGATGCTGATGGGCCCAGTCTGTCTGCAGAATGACAAGGGGAGGCCAGTGTGTGTTCCCCATAGGAGTATGCTCGGGGACCATCAGCTATTCCTAATGCCCAGAGACACGCAAGGCCCAGTGAGTGGTAGGGACACCCTGTGGGATATCCTAACAATCTTGGATGCCCCACAAGGTGGCACTCATGCTCTTGTGGAATTTCCCTGATTGCTAGAGGAACAGGTCCCTGGCATCCCAGGGTGATGCTCTGTGGTCCAGCCACATGGCAAAGCCTTGGGTGGATTATGTCGTACTGGGCCAGCGCATTTCATGTTAGTCCTATTGTGTGGATTAGAAGGCTGATCCCTACATGAGACATAGTATGTGTGTTAAGAAGAGCTGCCCCCACTGAGCAGGGCCTGGGTGTGTCCTTGGTGAAGGCCAGAGTGGGGGGGTGACCTGGGTCTCCGGCTAGCTGCTGACTGACCCTGGGATAAATGGAGGCAAAGCTAGAGACTAGGAGAGTATCTGCCATGAAGCAGCCAGGCTGCACTTGCCAGCTGGACCATTCCCAAGCATGGTGGTCCGAGGACACTTTAGCATCCTCTCTGGGTAGCTGGGTGTGACCACGGAGCCTGTGTGTCTGGGCCCTCTAGTGTGGGAAATGTAACATCCCCATACATCCAAATGGGCTCAAGCAGTGGCCCCAGAGCCCATCTGGCGGGCCCCTCAGCAGCAGGAGTGGAACAGGACTCTGGCACCTGCAGCACCGGCAGCCAGTAGCATGGGAGCAGCTCACCTGGGGACAGAGCTTTCTCAGGGGCTGGGTAGGGACTGTGAAACTCCCTTCCACTGGGACGAAGAACCTCCACAAACCTCGCCCCGTCCTGCTCCAAGTTGAGGTGCACTGCTTCAGCCTGCCTTCCCCAATTGAAACCCAGCACTGCACAGCAGCAGGAGGGGGCCCGGGGCCAGTCACGTCATGAATGCCTCTCTGGAAGCTACCAAAGTGATGGGCACAGTATCAATCCCTCTTGTGTGTGCGCTTTGCTGGGGCTTGACTTCTCAGAAAGAAGCCCCAGGGCTCACAGACCCAGTGTGCATATCCTCAGGTCACCCCAGGTGGGAGGAGAGGGAAGAGGCACTGGGGCCCTACCAATGGGCTCCCCCATCTCCAAGACCTGGCTCTTTGGCCAGGCTTTGAGTGGCAAAGGGGAGCTGCTCAGGTGTTAAGTGCGGGGGAATTAGGAGCTTTGGCCTGTTCTGTCACTCCCCTCCCCCGACTCTGGGTTCTGGTAAATCCACCCCCTGTGTGTTTTGATTTTCTCTGATCTGCCAGTTCTCCAGCAAGATCCTACTGTGGGCCTGTCCCTTGTGATGGGAAGACACCTGTTCACTCTCTGACTGTTGTGACGGGCAGGGGTTCTGTAGGGAGCAGGCCCTGCTCACTTCCCCTTCAAGCCGGCTGGCCCTGCGCGCTCCCCAGAAGGAGACGGGCCCGGCAGTGTGTGACCATGGGCAACGCAGACACCAGAGCAACTCTGAGGAGCCTTTGCAGCCACAGCCTGAGTCTGCCTTGGGGCGCTGTCTGTGGGCTCGCGTTCCCTAGTGCAGGTTGGGTGTGTCAGCATGGTGCTGCTCTGCCCCCATTTGCGCTGGTGGCAACAGGGACACAGGGCACAGGAGCCTCAGGCCCAATCCTGCTTCTCTGGTGCAGGTCCCACCGGTGCAGTCTCGGAGAGACGGGAAGGTGCGGCTTGTGGGACGCAGTCTCCCGTGGTTCCACCGCCCTTGTGCCATCGCTCTAAATGCCTCCTGCCCGGCTGGCCTGGCCTCTCCAGCGCACTGAGGGCCGTGCTAACTACCCATGTGTTTCTTCCTCTTTTGCCTTCTAGCAAACTGACGCGGGAAAGCGGGACAGATTTCCCCATCCCAGCTGTCCCAGCAGTGCCGGACTCTGAGACAGAGAAACTCATTCGGGAGAAGGACGAAGAGGTGTGTGCGGGGCCGGGGCCTCTGTCTCCTGCCAGGGGCTGCACTGGAGCCCCCCCCGCCCGTGGGAGGCCTGGTTAGAACTGAGAGCTGCGCTCTCGCCCGCTCCCTGCATGCAACGGTGCTGGGCTGTGGCCCCCTCGCTCTCCATGGCAGCAGAGGCAGCCTGCAGCAGGGCCTGACACACTCCTCGCTTTGCGTATTTCCACTCCCCTCCCACTGGAGGAGCTAACAGAGTCCAGCTCCATCCACAGTGCAAAGCTGTCCACTGACCTTTGGCCTCCTGCAGCCATTACCACCTCCCTGGGTCTCCCTCCCACAGAACTGGGCTTTGGGTTCTTCCCCCCCCGAGGAATTAGCTACATCCTTTGAAGGTCGAGTTTGCTCTGCCCATGGTGCTAACCAGCTTGTTTCCCTGCTCGCGCGGGCCTTGGCACACCCCGAGGTTGGCCTCCTCTGCACATTCCAGGGACCTGCTCCCCTCTGCCAGCTCAGGACTGAAGATATGAGGTAAAGCCAGACCCGGCCTGGACCCCTTCTGCCTCACCAGCCCCTCCTTCCTTGCTGCATTGCTCTAATTAACTCCTGCCACTGGCGTTCCCAGGAGAAACCCCTCTCTCTATTCCCAAGGCTTTGCCTAGCTATGCTGGGCCTGCTCCTTGCCCCAGCACTCTTCACCATCAGCCCCCTTCGTGCAGGTGGAATGTTCAGAGTGGGCAGCATTGAACAGCCCCTGCACTCCCTGTGCACAGGTATCAAAGAGCTACCCCAGTGTGAGGTGGGGGAGAATCAGGCCCTACGGTGACAGAGGACGAGTCTTCTGTGCTGTCACCCCCGCTGGCTGGCACAAGGGAGCACAACGGTTGTGTCCCGGTCTCCGAAGCCCAAGCAATGGGTGGCGGGGAGCTGGCCCTCACATGCTTTCTTATTCCATTTCAGTTGCGGCGGATGCAGGAGATGCTGCAGAAGATCCAGAGACAGATGAAGGACTCCCACTAGCCACCTCATTCCTCTCCAGCTCCCGCCCCACTTAGACCAGAAATGTTTACATCAAACCCCAGCCATCAAAGCCAGCTATGCTACTCAATACCAACAATGCACCTAGCACCTTCAGCTGACGCAATACGCCTTATTATGGACCCTCGCTGCGCTTTCCTCAGCGACCTACAGGAAATAAAGGCTGACCCGCACCAAAGCTTCTGCTGCCACCCTCCCCATGCCTACCCTGGCTTGGACTCAGCCGGCTTCCTTGGCAAGGCTCCTGCAAACCCAGCCTTGCCCACCTGCGGCTGCAGGCAGTCTTCCCCATGGTCTGACTGAGTCAGGCCCAGCCACTGGGCTGCTTCCCTCATGTTGAATGTGTGCAGAGCCACATGTCTGTCTACAGGCCCCCCCTCCCCCCCCCAGTGCTGAGTTTCACATATTTTCCCCTCAAGGCTCCTTCACAGTTGGGCCCCAGAGCAGGCCTCGTGCAGCAGGTGCAGGCCTGGGACGTGGCTGATTGGTGCAGCGCAGTGGCCATGGCCGTGTGCCCAGGCTGCTCCCCAACAGTATGAGGAGCCAGTGATGTCAGCATTTTGCAGTGGTTCCAGAGCAAAACTCTCAGTCCCCAAGGCAGCCTGTGGCCTGGCAGCTCATGCTGCAGGGAGCTCTGCTCTGCTCCCAGCAAAGCATGAGCTGCTCCCCCAGGGCCCTGCCCAGGCAGAGCGGATGTATGGGATGTCGACACAGCAAGTGAAGGGGGGTTGTAGCAGACGTTGCATGCCCCTGTTAGCGTCCATCTAGCTAGCGTGGGTAACGACAGCAGCACAGGCTTCGACATGGACGAGCCACCCATGTAAAACTCTCCCAGGATGCTGGGTCCATACTCCAGTTAGCTTCACTACTTGCAGCCCGCCCTCACTATATTAAAACTAGTGCGGGTCTGTGTCCCCAAGCCACAGTCACACACCACTTGCTGGGCGCCTGTAGCCTCTGTGGGCCCCCTCCCTCCTGGCCACCAGCTGAGAGCCACCCTCAGGAACCTACTCAGGTCTTGGGACTGGTGGACCACATTCTGTTCTCTCCTACATGTGCTACGCTAGTGAGGCCAGTGGACTCCATGCGTGGCACTCAGAGAAGAGTGTGGCCTCGTGGCATCGGTGGGAGAGGAGCAGAGAAGATAGAAACAGTCCTAGTGCCACAGAATCCATGTCCCATGGTGGTAAATATGCTCAGGAATATGCTTCCTCGAGGGACTGGACATCAGGATCCTCCAGTGCCCCCCGTCTGCTCTGCTAATCCTGGTGTGGCCAGGCAGCATCTCCCACACCAGCCACTCCCCCAGCAGGGCAGTGAGAGACGGACAGGCACACCTGGCCTAGCAATGGGAGCAGCGCTGTGTGTGCGAGCACAGGGCTGGTGCTGCACTGCTCACACACGCACACACACACTGCAGGGCCCTAGCCTGGCACAGGTGCCTACGCACACGTACAGCAGGCACCAGGTCCCCTCCTGGCATGTGCACACAGACGCTGCAGGGCCCCTCCTCTCTCCTGTGAGCTGGGTGATGGGGGCAGGAAGGCAGCATTTCATTGTGAGTTGTACATGGCAGTGCACAAGGAGATCCCTGACGCTAGGCCCTCCCAGAAATCCCCTGGCCAGGCAAGTTGCCCTTCTGTGCCCTGTTTCAGCCAGTGTCCTTGCCTTGTTGGGAGAGTCTCGATGAACCTCCATTGGCCATGCTGGAGACTAAGGCCCCGTTTCCAGTCTCCCATCCTGCAGTGTGCTGCACACCAGTCCGGGGACACAGCAGCTGACAGCTCCCTGTAACCCCCCTTGCTGATCACGGACTCCACCTTGCAAGGAGCGTGACTGTAGCAAACTGGTGGGTGAGGCCACAGACTCACAATGTCCAGAGTGGATTTCCCAACATCGTTGCAAAGAACAGGAACCAAGACCTGGGTGAGCTCACCCTCCCAGCCAGCTCTGGCAACAAGGTGGGGCCTGGAGACTGGCCAAACCATTTCAAGGACAGAAGCAGCTTTCTTTTATCAGCACCCAGACCTCCACTCCCAGTGTCTTCTGCATTGTCTCGCAAAGTCTCCTACTAAATATCACTCACAAATGCAATGGAAAACCCCTTTGTTTGCCTCAATCCAGATTAAAGACCTGCTCAATTGTCCTCTTGGAGCTTCTTCCCCCTACAACTGACTTCTCTGGTTGTGCCCGGAGAGCATTCCTCATTCAGACAGTTGGTATTTCTATCCTTCTGGGACACCACAGATGGAGAAACCAGTTTGAATAAAATAGACTGACTTGAACCTTTGCCCAAAACTTGAACAAAACCTTTCCAGGGCTTCCCATGCTTGCTAGGCTGCCTGCATTCTGCCCCAAAACAGAGGTGTTGAAGAATGGAGAGGATCATTGTCCTGACAGCATCTCCAGCCCAGCAAAGCAAAGAAGACCAGAAATGTCCTGAGGAAGCTGGTTCTTGTGAGTCGTCCAGCCCAACTTTGCAGACTCACTAGGTTCAAGATAAGGAGTACTTGTGGCACCTTAGAGACTAACCAATTTATTTGAGCATGAGCTTTCGTGAGCTACAGCTCACTTCATCAGATGCATACCGTGGAAACTGCAGCAGACTTTATATATACACAGAGAATATGAAACAATACCTCCTCCCACCCCACTGTCCTGCTGGTAATAGATAGTTTGGATAAATTCTGAGAAGCTTCCACCGTTTGGGTTGTGTCACTTTGGGGCGCAGTCCAGTTCCTTGAGGTGTTCCCATCACTTTCTCTGAATCCTGCCTCTGTCAGATGGTGACCAATGCCATCTGGAGAAAGATGGGTGATTCTTGTGGGTGTCCCTGTGTCACGTCAATCTCCATGCACAGGCCCTGCACCAGCTGCTGTCTCTGGTTCAGCATCTCTTTAGCAAAGAGTTTGGGGTCCTCCCTTGGGAGGAGCCTACTTAGAATCATAGAAGATTAGGGTTGGAAGAGACCTCAGGAGGTCATCTAGTCCAATCCCCTGCTCAGAGCAAGACCAAGCCCACTAAATCATCCCAGCCAGGGCTTTGTCAAGCCAGGCCTTAAAAACCTCTAAGGATGGAGGTTCCACCACCTCCCTAGGTAACCCGTTCCAGTGCTTCACCACCCTCCCAGTGAAATTGTTTTTCCTAATATCCAGCCTAAACCTCCCCCACTGCAACTTGAGACCATTGCTCCTTGTTCTGTCATCTGCCACCACTGAGAACAGCCGAGCTCCGTCCTCTTTGGAGCCCCCCTTCAGGTATCATAGAATCATAGAATCATAGAATCAAAGAATATCAGGGTTGGAAGGGACCTCAGGAAGTCATCTAGTCCAACCCACTGCTCAAAAGCAGGACCCATACCCAATTAAATCATCCCAGCCAGGGCTTTGTCAAGCCTGACCTTAAAAACTTCTAAGGAAGGAGATTCCACCACCTCCCTAGGCAACGCATTCCAGTGTTTCACCACCCTCCTAGTGAAAAAGTTTTTCCTAATATCCAATCTAAACCTCCCCCACTGCAACTTGAGACCATTACTCCTTGTCCTGTCCTCTTCCACCACTGAGAATATTCTAGAACCATCCTCTCTGGAACCACCTCTCAGGTAGTTGAAAGCAGCTATCAAATCCCCCCTCATTCTTCTCTTCTGCAGACTAAACAATCCCAGTTCCCTCAGCCTCTCCTCATAACTCATGTGTTCCAGACCCCTAATTATTTTTGTTGCCCTTCGCTGGACTCTCTCCAATTTATCCACATCCTTCTTGTAGTGTGGGGCCCAAAACTGGACACAGTACTCCAGATGAGGCCTCACCAATGTCGAATAGAGGGGGACGATCACGTCCCTCGATCTGCTCGCTATGCCCCTACTTATACATCCCAAAATGCCATTGGCCTTCTTGGCAACAAGGGCACACTGCTGGCTCATATCCAGCTTCTCGTCCACTGTCACCCCTAGGTCCTTTTCCGCAGAACTGCTGCCTAGCCATTCGGTCCCTAGTCTGTAGCTGTGCATTGGGTTCTTCCGTCCTAAGTGCAGGACCCTGCACTTATCCTTATTGAACCTCATCAGATTTCTTTTGGCCCAATCCTCCAATTTGTCTAGGTCCCTCTGTATCCTATCCCTGCCCTCCAGCGTATCTACCACTCCTCCCAGTTTAGTATCATCCGCAAATTTGCTGAGAGTGCAATCCTCACCATCCTCCAGATCATTTACGAAGATATTGAACAAAACCGGCCCCAGGACCAACCCCTGGGGCACTCCACTTGACACCGGCTGCCAACTAGACATGGAGCCATTGATCAGTACCCATTGAGCCCGACAATCTAGCCAACTTTCTACCCACCTTATAGTGCATTCATCCAGCCCATACTTCTTTAACTTGCTGACAAGAATACTGTGGGAGACGGTGTCAAAAGCTTTGCTAAAGTCAAGAAACAATACATCCACTGCTTTCCCTTCATCCACAGAACCAGTTATCTCATCATAGAAGGCGATTAGATTAGTCAGGCATGACCTTCCCTTGGTGAATCCATGCTGACTGTTCCTGATCACTTTCCTCTCATGTAAGTGCTTCAGGATTGATTTGAGGACCTTCTCCATGATTTTTCCGGTAGTTTTCAGGTAGTTGAAGGCTGCTATCAAATCCCCCCACACTCTTCTCTTCTGCTGACTAAACAAGCCCAGTTCCCTCAGCCTCCCCTCATAAGACATGTGCCCCAGCCCCCTAATCATTTTCATTGCCCTCCGTTGGACTCTCTCCAATTTGTCCACATCCCTTCTGTAGTGGGAGGCCCAAAACTGGATGCAGGCCTCCAGATGTGGCCTCACCAGTGTCAAATAGAGGGGAATTCTTCAGCTTCTTGTGTCTGGTGCTCAGGTACTAGGATAATCAGCTCTTTTGAAATGCCAGTGTATTAATTAGCTCTCACCCCATAGGGATGTCTTTCGCTGTCTGAAATTTAAAGCTCCATCAAAAATATCTATTGAAACAAATGTTCAGCGACCAATGGGGAAGGCTTTCCTGAACTTGTTCTCAAGCGTTGTGTGATTTCTGAGCAGCTTGGCTCAGACCGGCGATCCCTTCCCACTAGCCGTTTTCAGCAACAAAGTTCCACCCGAGTGAGCATCAGTCCTAAGCAGCATCCTGCAATAGCAATTCCCATGCTACCCACAGTGTCGTTACCCCAGTGAGAGTGCCCAGCTGGAGGCAGTCCTGGGTTTGAACAATCAGACTCCAGGTGGCAATAGTCCCTTTCTGGTTTTGTAGCTCACAAGTTGAGCCCACTGAGGTCATCGCATCTGCCACAGCACAGCTGACCTCACTTAGCTCCTCCCTCTCAGCAGAGGAGCCGTTGAGGAACATAGAAAATGCGGATGCACCAACCAGAGGCTGTGCAGTGCAAGCCCATTCCTTCCCCATACAGCCCAGCTGAGAGCTCTGAATAACACTCTGCAGAGTCCGGCTGCTCTAGAAGTCACCTCCATGCTATGTCTCCTACAAGGGACATTTGCATGAAAGCAGGCTCATTGGTGTTTATTCCCCAGAAGTTGTCAGAACCCTCTGTGACATCATGATAATCTCCATAGCAACCACTGTGATGTCACACACAGAAGAATCTGGGGAACAAGAAGCAGCCCACAGATGCCTAAGCACCAGTGGTCCTGTTTGTATGTAAAGGTCTTAATAAGCGAGGGCAAGAACCTTCTCCCCAAAGTGACGGCTACACATCTGCTTCTTAGTAGGTTGCCAGACCTAGCTGAGGTTCTTTGAAGGCATCATTCATGGGAAGTCAGGGCAGTTTCCTATGTCTAACTGGGCTTCATTTCCCCTACTGCCACCATTAGGAAAATAGCTGAGTTCTGCTGGGAAGTTCGAGTAGGTGGCCTGCTTTCCACAAACAGCCATGTCCCTGCTCCCAGCCTTGGTGCCACTGAAGCTTGTAGCCCGCGTGCTAGGCTTCCTGCTCCTGTGCAGGGCAGGGTGCAACAGAGAAGCTTCCTGCCACTGGTGTGTGTATTTGTGCAGATAAGCTCACTGCCCACCCAGATCCCATCCCTCCCACGACGGGTGGTCAGAATCCAAGCTCAGGTCTGAGTGTTGGGCTGCCCCCATCTCTTCTGCCTTTTGCACAGTTTGCTTTTCACTCAGTGATGTGTATTTGTCTCCAAATTCTGGCTGCTTTTGCACATTCTGGTTCAACACCATTTTCCGCTCCCCCATCGCAGGCTACATGCAGAGCTGTGGGCAGTTGCCAGTCAGCCTCCTGGCCACAGCACTTCTGAGACGCAGCTGACGCAGTGTCTCTCCAGGTGTGCTGGACAGAGTTGCAATAGGAGGAAAGGAAGCTGTCTCCCTGCCGCCCTTCGGTGTAGTCAGTATGAGTCAAAGCAGCTTTTTCTAGGACACGACCTGTGCTGGGCAGAGGGGAGAGGCCTGTAGGTCATTCCACACTCTGAGGAGACAGGTCTGGCTCGTCTGATAGAAGCAGGGCATTGTGGGAAAACTGTACCACGTCATGAGTGATTTGCATTCCTGAATAGACCAAAAAGCCAGAGGGTGTCTTCTCCCTGGCTGTGTGAGGGACCAGGCAGCTGTCCAGGGCAGGAGAGCCTCACCGGATGGATTAGTGCTTTCCATTTCCTTTTTTATCGAGCTGTTTTCTTACAAAATACCTATCTTTGCATGATTGTCAGAGAGGCATTTATTAAAGTATATAAAGAATATAGGTTTATAAAATCTTACAGCTCTAGTGGAAATATTTTTATCGCTCCACAAAGTTCTCAATAAATATGGCTGATGGGAATTACCTGGTGGGGGGAACCTCTTGTAACAGGAACCTGGCATGCATGTGTGTATGTTTGTACTTGTAGGGTGTGTGTGTGCACGAGGTGTGTTTGTGCTAAGGTGTGTGCCAATGAGAAGGATTCCATGTTAAAAGTTACTGTCTCTAGGTTTTGGCATGACAGAATGCAGGCCTTGGGCTGGGCGACCGGTTTGTAACAAACAGCTCAGTGGATGGATTTGGCCCATATTCTGGTTCCAGGAGACTAGGTTCTGATCCCCTGGCTCATGGTGACTAATGCCTGACTCCTTGAATAGCTCCAGTGACGCCAGCGGGGCCAGGCCCAGGGTAAGAAGCTAAGGGGATCAGGCTGGCCCAAACTGTTCACAGACACTGATTTTTCCTAATTGGTTTATTTTTAATTGTTTGATGAACACTTTATGCAAATGAATTCCAGCCTCTGGGGTGTTTGGGAACCATGGCTGAGACTTTCAGTGTAGCCACAGGGATTTAGACACCCAAATCCCATTAAAACGAATGGGAGTCAGGCAGTTTTGGGTCCATCATGGGTATTCTCTTGTTGTGACCAGTCCCCTCCGATCAGGCCTTTGGGAGGAGAAAGGGCCAATTAGGGAGATTGGCCCCACATGGGGGGCTCAGGCTGGAGAAGCAACCCCTGACTGGGTGATGGAGCTGGTGCAGGCTAGGCTAGAATAGCCAGGAAGCTGGCTCCAGAACTGGCTGCAGGGAGGAAGGCTGCAGTCACCCCTCTTGTTAGGGGTGGGAACGGGGGGAAGCCAGGGAAAGAGCAAGACCCCTGGGGGCCTGGCCCTACAGGAAGGGTGGACTCGGGAAGCCTGTGGGAGGTGGGTAGGAAGCAGCCCAGGGAGAAAGCAGCAGGGTTGGGGAATGAGCAGACCTTGGCTGCATCTTGTAGGGTCCCTGGGCTGGATATGGCGTAGTGGGCGAGCCCAGGGCCCCTATCAGCCACTGGCAGAGTGGGTCTGCCTGGACAGCGGGTCCAGTGAGACTCTGTACCCCAGAGGGGACACCCCATAGTGGGCTGAGTCACCAAGAGGAAGCTGCAGCTCCTGGCGCGGGAGAGGGGTTGCAGTGAGGGGAGACAATGGGAGACCACAAGGAGATGTGTCGGATCTGGAAGCGAGCTATTCCCCAGAGCAGCCAGGAGGAGGCACCACCTGCGTTGAGTGAGAAGCTGTATGTGGAGCTAGCAGAAGCCAGACCGGCCAGTGGGGGGAACCCATAATACATAGTGTCCCCCCTGAGCCACCAGAAACGGGCCTTGCTGGAGACACAGTGCTGGGAACCCTGCCTGCACCGCTGCAGCCCGAGGGCAGAGCCAGCTGCCTCGTTGCTCTCAGAACAACAGCTTGGGCTGTTTCCCAAGTGTCTCCATTTCTGCCTCTGGACTTGTGCTCTACTTCCTCCATCTAGGGGTCTGGATGCCTGTCACCCAGCTAAGCCCCAGAGTGAGTCAC